ACTTGCAAGTGGACGCCGTCCGGGCAGTTCCGCACGTGCAGCAGACTGCCGGAATGGACCCGCGTGGCGCACGAATGTGCGCCCGACGACCAGTTCCCCCCCCCCCCCCCAAAAAAAAAAAAAAGGCCCCGTCCGGTCCCGGGGGACGGTGCCGCACACGGCAAAGCGGACCGGACCGGACACTCGTCTGGTCCGTCTGCTTGCAAGTATGGTCCAAACCCGTGAATCCGTGTGTGTTTGAGTTGTAAACTGTCATCACGACAACCCCTTTTCCACCCATATATGAGAAGAAAATTAATTTTGTTTTTGTTTTTGTTTTTGTTTTTGTTTTTGTTTTTGTTTTTGTTTTTTTTGTGGAAAAAAACAGTGCCTTTGCAAGGAGAGGTGGTACGAGCAAATTTGAAACTACTATAACAAACAACATGAAGCACGAGCAAATCCAAAACTGAAACAGATTTACCTGTGTAGCAAACAACATGAAACACACTGGAACTGTTACATTGCCTTTTCCTTGTACAGTCCTTTCTTCGCTGTCCTTACTTTGGAAGTTTGGATTCTTTTCTGGGTATTTTCTCTATCATTTTCTTCTTGCAACTGCCCATTCACTGTGCCTCTCACCTGCAAGATTCACCATGTCGATTACGGTTGCGTGCGAGCTGCACACATCCCCATGTGCCATAACGACCCACTTGCATGCCATGAATAGAGGCAGAGTAAAAGGGGAGGTATACTCCTGTACCTCTTTCAGCTCCTCTTCAGCTTATATTTTCTGTTCACAGGGTTCTGAGTACTCACCGCCGGAGCAAACTTGTATGGAACGGTACAAGAGGAATACCAGTGTTTAGGTTGCAGGGCAGGGAAGTTTGAGTCGAGGAGCACGTGCTGTCTATGGCAAATGGCCAGCCCTGCAGAGCAGAGAGGAGCGGTTCGGGTGTGGACTGTGAAGGCACCGCATGATCCGCATCCAATTCTCACAGTTGGCGCTGCTGTACCGAATGCCACGGATTAGACAGATGTCACATGATACGTGGCTCCTACATGCTAGGAATACAGAGGCACGCCGACCGCAATCTTATAGGCATTGCCGTTGCAGCCCCTATCTATAAATAGGACATGTCATGTCAGGGTGTCATACACGAGTAGAACGTTGACTGTCATGATATGTATGAAAACAAAGACTTGCATGGGCTATACCTTCATAATCCACACGACACAAAGCATGCCAATGACATGCTAGCTGAATCTCAAGACGGCTATCATAGTGGGGCATTGAGCAAGTTCCTTGGGTTTTCGCAAGCGTCTCTATGGGCAGGTGATAAAGGGGCCTGATCTTAAGTAAGGGTGTTTAGCTGTTGCAAGATCTGGTCTGCAACAGCTCGCTGTGGCGGCAATAACCTTTCAGTACGGCACACTGTAGGTGGTTTTATGTGAGAGTCTATTCTCCACCTCAGGCTGCTCCGTCTATTGTTTATCTGGCAAGGATGGAGGAGATCTGAATACAGGTGCAGCGGGAGGATGCTCAACTTTGCATGTGTACATGTAACGGAGAGGATGGCGGAGGATGGCATCGGGGATAGTCCACACAGTAGAGGCGCATACCTTCTTTTTTTTTTTTTTTTTTTTTTTTCCAACCGGCTCTACCGCTAGGAGGGGTGATAAGAGCACCCCCTTCTAGCAGATTGCCAGGTTGCTCTAATCTATTGGTGGGGAGCTACACCTGCTGGAAAGCGGGTCCAGCGTCCCAGTGAACAATTAAACATCCGAACACACAGGCTCCCTGCCAGCATTGATTATCCATGCCAGCTTTCAGGCTACAATGACGACACATGGCATGTTGCTGACATGCGAGCAGGAAGACAGGCTGACGTTCCAGTTATTCAAGCATGGCATGTTAAGGCCACAATGACATATCGGGGGCAAGCAGTATGGGGCCGGGGTGTATGAGTTGAAGACAACGGGTCACAGTTTTGCGACAGAGACTGGAAGTGACCATCACTCCATAGTGTTGGGAGCAGAGATTGTGCTGTCTGCATGCTAACCGAACTGTAATTGTGTGGAGACACAATGGCATGGCACAGCCACCGTCCTTTGGAGGACCCCCTCACCATCCGCAGGAGAACAAGTCCGATCGACGCAGCCAAGCGATGCTACCTGGCCATGTTAAGGGGAGGGAAGAGGGCTGGCCGGGTTGTTCTCCGGAGGCTGTAGAGCTTGAAAGTGCGCATCCACATAGCGTTGCTGATCGACCAGCCAGAGCAAGTGGGATTCTCCCACTCGGTGGTAGTAAGATGTAATATTTCCCAGCGGGTGCACCCTACAGCCATTATCCCGTAGGGTCCATGAATCATCCGCAAAGGTAACAGCACCAAAATGACCCTAGCAATGCAGGATGTATGCACAAATACTAGGGTCCATGTCAGGCATATAGTTCCGTGGATCAGGCTGGAGTTGCAGTCGTCTTCCCATAAATGTGAAAGATTGTACGTCAGTGCTCATGGAAGCTGCAGTACTGTCATTCGCTGGGCAGACAGCACAGTGCTCCTATTCTATCCAGTGGACAATGTCTGCAAATCAGAAACAATATAGGGGTTGCAATGTCAGCTAGGAGACCCACATTAATGGCATAGTGCACACAATGGCCTCGCTGTAGCACTATGCCATCATTTGGCTTTGCAGATTGCTTAGCAGGGCGAGGTCCATTCCAGTCTTGACAGTCTTTGTCAGGATCCTCTGGCTGGATCAACTCCATTGGCTCTAGGATGTGTCCCAGGGAGAGCATCTCCAATCTAGGGTTTCATCAAATGATCAGAGGGTGGATCATTGCCAGTTCGAGTGGGGTAGCGATCAGGGCGAGGCGGACTAGAAGTGGCGGGGGGGGAGCAGATGCAAGCAGTGGATGCTGATCAGTCACGCTTTCATGCAAATGCTGCATACATGGCTGCTCCTCGTGTCTGGTGCCCATGCAGGCCTGCAGCACTGTAAAAATCATCGCCACATTGTGCACAGCGGACTTGGCACACAATAGTCCTGGTGTGTGTGTATCGCGACCGACCACGTCATTCCGTATGGTTGTGAGCATGGGGTCGGAGTAAATCTCTGACTCCCGTCGGGGGCACGATGATCATGCTGCTCATGTACAAACGAGGCTGCTGTCTGGGAAGGGGGACATCTCCACCAAAGAGGCGACGGTGACAGCTGATCTGACCATGAATGTGATGATGATGATAATGACGAGGGGGAGGAATGTGAGGAGGAGGAAGAGGAGGACGAAGAAGAGGAGGCAGTTGACGAACAGGATGATGTAGTAGGTGTAGGTGAAGGGGATGGTGGCAATAGAGATGGCGGTTGTAGCGCGGGCATACTTTCAGCAGCAGCCACAACGGTAGGATGCTGGCTATCATCCCCTGCAGCCACTTCGACAACATTTACTTTGTCTGCTACGGATGGGCGATTGCAGCATCCATATAATATTAGCAGCTGCCCTTCTGGTAGTAATAACCGGGAAGGGAAGGCCCACTGTGTGGCTATGTGGAGGCTGATGCTGTATGCGCTCACAATTGGCATTCGGCAGTGGGTGGGTTGCCGACTCTATATATATACACACACACACACACACACACAC